TGATGTTAACATGTCAATGTGAATATTCACATTGTCAACGAGCCGGGCCGGGCCCGCCCTGGGCAGCGGGCGGGCTTCGGGCCGCCCACGGGCCACGGGCCAATTTTACACTTCTATCAATGTGAATGTTAACATGTCAATGTGAATATTCACATTGTCAATAGGCCGGGATGGGCCCTCTTCGGGCCGCCCACGGGCCGTGGGCATGTTTCAGGCAGCCACGGGGCACGGGCTAATGTTCCACTCTTATCAATGTGAATGTTAACATGTCAATGTGAATATTCACGTTGTCAACGGGTCGAGCCCGCGTCGGCCCGGGGTCGGGCTTCGAGCTACCCACGGGTCACGGGCTAATTTTACACTCTTATTAATGTTAATGTTAATATATCAATGTGAATATTCACACTGTCAACGAGCCGAGCCGGGCCCGCCCTGGGCAGCGGGCGGGCTTCGGGCCGCCCACGGGCCACGGACCAATTTTACACTCCTATCAATGTGAATGTTAATATGTCAATGTGAATATTCACATTGTCAACGGGTCGGACCAGGCTCGGCCCGGGCCGCCCATGGGACGCGAGTCAATTTTACACTCTTATCAATGTGAATGTTATTATGTCAATGTGAATATTCACATTGTCAACAGGCCGGGTCGGGCCGGCCCCGGGCCGCCCACGGGCCGTGGGCTAGTTTCGAACAGCCACGGGGTGCGGGCTAATTTTATATTCTTATCAATGTGAATATTAACATGTCAATGTGAATGTTAACATGTCAATGTGAATATTTGCATTATCAACGGGTCGGGCCGGGCTCGCCCAGGGCAGCCCACGATCCGCAGGTGGGTTTCAGGCCGGCCACAGGCCGCGGGCTAATTTTACACTCTTATCAATGTGAATGTTAACATGTCAATGTGAATATTCACATTGTCAACGGGCCGGGTCGGGCAGGCCCGACCCGGGCCCGGACTTCGGGCTGCCCACGAGTCATGGGCCAATTTTACACTCTTGTCAATGTTAATGTTAATGTTAATATGTCAATGTGAATATTCATATTGTGAACGGGCGGCCCGGGCCCGCCCCGGGCGACGGGCTGGTTTCGGGCCGCCTACGGGCCGTAGGCTAATTTTACACTCTTATCAATGTGAATGTTAACTTGTCAATGTGAATATTCATATTATCAACGGGCCGGGTCGGACCTATTTTTTTAGCTTGTGGGCCCGCCCAGCCCGACTCGAATTTTTCCGGGCACCCACGAGGATCGACATGAGCCGGGCTCCTACACATTGACGATATAAACATTTATATTGACGATGTGAACATTCACATTAAGGGTATTTTGGTAATTATGTCACCCATAGGACTTATTGAAACATAAGAAAATAATGTGAACTAAATGGAACATAAGTAGATGAAAAGGGTATTTTGGTCTTCTTATCTCAAATTGGATGTAATGGAATAGTCAAAAAGAATATGGATTAGATGGAATAAAACTCTTAGAAAATGAATTTATCAAAAAAACTCCCTTTATTTAAATACAGTGAAAATTGTTCTACAATTACTTATACGGATAGAAAAAATATATATATATATATATATATATATATATATATATTTGTCATAATTTTTATATTAAAATGTATAATTTACCTTTATATTCGTGCATTTTCACATTATTTGTGTTAGTATCTTTACTTTATCAAGTTGTTATAATTATGTCAAACTTATAAGAAATATTATATATTTTTTTTAAATTTCCAAGTCTAGTCATGGGTTTAATTTACATAATTTTTTAACTAGGATTATGTGGTCCTTTACTATAAAACAAAACTCTTTATTTATTTATTTATATATATTGGATTCAAATGAAGATTAACGTTCAAACCTAGGATCCCAACAATACAAAGTCTCTGTCAAAGGTGATTGTCTTTCATCACAAGACAGTCTCACAAACAAAGATTGAAATGGTCTTCATGTTTTTATCTCTTGTAGTGTTGATGTTCTACTAGGAAACTACGATTCATTTTCGATTTGGTTGTGGCTTTTCAGCAACTTATTGTCTATTATAAATATGGGACTTTCACTCATTTCTTCTTCACTATATTCCTTCCCCTCTTGTATGATTTATTATTTATATGCAATGTTGGTATTAGTCTTCTTTCCCATTTTTATGTATGGATATATGGACACCACCATACAAGGCATAATCACACAAAAACAAGTCAAAGAGAAAAGCATAGTCACACAATTACCAATTGGATATAGGTTTAGCCCTACACAAGAAGAGTTGATGACTCATTATTTGATCAACAAGGTCCTAAACACACCTCTTCCCTCTCAAATTATGATGGAGATTGATGCAATTGAGTTCTATAGCAAGCCTCCTAACAATCTTGGTGTGTAATTTTCTGATATATATATATATATATATATTATGGTTTTAAATAATAGTATGGATATATATTTGTATCAGCCAATATGTAAAACCTATATAGTTAAAACTAGTTTCATTATATGTGGTTTTGTATGCTATCATGCATTGATCTAAATGGGTATATAGCTTGAATTGTATATCATTCTAGGATTATGGTTTTGATTTCATTTGATTGTTTTTTGTTTTTGTTTTTGTTTTTTAGATCTAAGCATTCTAAAGAACACATTTGGAGGAGGAGGAGAAGGCAAAGATCATGATCATCTCTCTCTTGTGAAGAAATTACCATCCCTTCACCCCTAGCTGGCAACCAAAACATGAGTGTAAGGGCCGACAAACAGTCTGATACAGATCGGAGACACCAGGATTCAGACCTAAAACCTTGTGGGTGACTTACTATTCGATAGGCTAAAGATGACACAGGTTGGCATTATGGTTTTTTGTTGCTTCTTCTCCTCCGTCCTCTACAAACCTATAGTATTTCAATAATATTCCTCTACAAACCTATAGTATTTCAATAATATTGAATCACTACAATGTAATATTTTAGCTTTATAATTAAATAACGTACAATTATGTGTTGGATTTTATCTTCAAGACTATATGTTGAGCACACTAGCTTATCAAATTTTATTGTTTTGTTTGTTTTTACAGTGTCAAATCCAACAAATGGAAGAGATTGGTGCTTCTTGATCCAATATGATGAATATTTTTATGGTGAAAGAAAACAAATTAGAGAGGTTGGAAATGGAATAGGATTTTGGAGGTCAATAGGAATTGAAGATCCAATCTATAACTCCAATGGAGACATTTATGCCTTCAAGATCAATTTCAGTTATTTTTCAGGATCAATTCCTAAAGCAAAGAAAACACATTGGAGGATGGAACAATTTCGAATACACTTCAATTGTGACACAAAAACTTTAAAGGTAATAACATTTTTTTTAATGACTAGCTATCCGGGTTAACTTATGCATGGGTAATTCTCTTTCTACACACTTAATAATTTTTTTTTTTATTACATTTTTGTCTTAAAATTAAATTACCAAAATATCCCTTTCCCAAAACCCTATCTCTAACTCTCTACAAAAAAAAACAGAGAACAAGTTTGGGGAATGAATTCTCAATTAATATGAAGAACAGCGGTAATTTTTTCTACATCATAACTAATTTTTTGACATTTTTTTTCTTCTCCATTTTGTTGTTTGATTAGAATGGCCTATGTATGTTTTTGTTTATTAATATAATTGTTTCCCATGTTTTCAAAAAATAAAATTTATTTTCCTTAAACCAGAAAAAATATATATATAATCATCATCTTGCAATATAATTGGCCAAACAATGGTTTTCTGTAACTTCCACTCAGCAATTTGGATCACTACAAATACAAATTCTAAATAAAATTTTATAACAGAGAAAAATATATCACCGACGGTCATATGTAATTACATTACTGAAATTACAAACATGTAAACCTATCATGTTCCCTCTAGCAAAGAGAAACTGAACATCTTATTTCAGGGATCAATTTCGGCAATGGAGGTAGCGGAAGTGGCGCCGACGGGTGGAGGGAGGGGTGGGGGTAACGACTGGAAGTGAAAGGGAGGGGAAGAGGTGCCGCCGCCAACGGCAACAGCAGTGGTGGCTTGTTAGGGTTAGGGTTTGAAGGATGAAGATGGTAAGGGTATTTTTGGTATGATAGGATGTGTATTGAATGAAAGCTAATAATTTAAATTTATTTAGTGTGTGTATTGAGAAAAGATGTGGAAATAGAGGAAGTAATGTGTGGAAATAAAATTTTCCCTTGTGCACACCTTAATTAACTATGGAATCCACGCAAAAGCACCTCCCTTTACATGAATCGGGCAAATCTCGGAGCGTGACCATAAGAAGTTGATAACACCTAGTATACCTCCAAATTTCAAGTTGCACCGATTAAGCCAACCTCTTGGGGTTGGCAATAATAAATTATACTAATCTATTATTCTATTACCAATTCTTCTAAATATAAATAGAATCGGATCATAAAATCAAGTACAATCCTCTGGTGTAGAGTGGACTCTCACATGTAATGAGTCTCAATCCATTTGAGAATTATGTCTAATTCTAATCAAATTCAGTGTATTTAAAATTATTCAAACTCCCAAATACTTGGTTGAGTTCATGTCAAGGTGTTGAAAGTTAGAACACCTGCACACTATGTGAAGAGGAAATAACCACTTCACAAAATAATTCACGTCAAGTGTATCAATATATGAGTCTATAAGTATTTTGAGAAATGCCAAAAATTTACAATTTAAATTCTACAATTTATTTACAATGATATGGTATGACAGGTAAGTAACTTTTTTTACCCCCTTTTTTTTTTTTTTTTTAATGTTCACAAAAGTTTAGAAACAAAAAAACAAAACCTCATTTAGTGTCTATTTTTATTTCCAAGAAATATAAATAGCTTATAATTTGCCAAATTCTAATAAGCAAATTAAAAAATGTTTTTACCTGTTTTGAAAACAAAATTTTCATTCCTCCCTTCCCAACCCTCCAGCCACCACCGATTGACACTAGTGACTTCCCAGCACCTGGTTATTGGCTATCACCCTTGTTCATTTCAAAACAAATTTTCGAAATGTATATATGTGCCAAAAATATTTTTGTTTTATTTTTTTATTAAAAATAAATATAAATATTCAACATTTTCCGTAAATATAAAATAATAAAGCATTTATTTACTGTATATCTGTGGCTGCTTCCATGTAGAAGATGCATTTTAGTATGAGAAATCAAACATTCATTATCAACTTCTCATTTTCTTTTTTCTTTTTTTTTTTATGTTTTTGCAGGGAAATGAATGGGTGTTGGGAAGACTAAAAAGAGGGCAAGATTACAGTAAACCTCGTTCTAAGTCTGACTGAGACATTTTTAATTTTATTATTGGATTTTGTTAATGTGTGTAAAACTTGAAAAGATTATACATTCTGTATGCAATAATTAAAAAAAAAAAAGTACAATCTTTTTAAGTCATTTTAACAGATTAACAAGACCTTTAATTGTTTAATTCCACAATATTGTTGGGAATCAAATAAGGATTGCATCTCACAGTCTCATCTGCAATATATATCTTTTTTTATATTACATTATTGTCTATTTTTTACATTTATTTGTCTTAAAAAGCTAGAATAATTTTTTTTTTTCATATATTGTAATTTTTTTAACACTAGCAATAAACTAGTATTATGCATGGAATAAAAAATTATATTAATTTTAAAAAAATATAAAATAAAAAGTGATTTATTAAATTTAAACCAAATATTAAAATTCCATCCATAGGGTGTTTTGGAATGGAGGTCCAAACTTTGGTCTTTGTTCGTTATAAGGATACACACAGGTTGGTAATTCCAAGAATAATTCTTGACATTTTGCCCTTTATATGTATAATGTATTAAAAACCTTAAGATTTCATAACTTTGTTTTACAAATCTATTTTTAACAAAATTGATCTGTGGACTTCTCTTTTCAAGATCTTTCATACAAGATCAATATTAAATATGAAATTTAAAAATAAAAAAAAAAAGATTATTTTTTGGTTAATCAAAACAAAGAAACAACATTTTTTGAGTGAGCGCTCGAAATACATGAAATTTTTAGATCTCAAAAAAAATCTGGAATAATAAAATTTTGCACCAAAACGGACTATTGAGCATAAACTTATGACATATTGAAGTTTTGACACCCTAAACAAATTTTTTTTTTTTTTTCTCACTTTCAGATATGTATGCCAATATTTTACCTAACTGTGCAAATTTTTTAAACCTCCAAATTATTTTAACCTATCTGTAGCAAATATTTTAACTTATCAATGTTTTACATTTATCTGTACAATTTTTTTAACATAAAACGGGTTTATTTTTTTCCTTTTTAAATAATATTTTATAAAATTAAATTAAATTATTTATATATGACTATATATAAATTATTTTTAAAAATATGTTGCAACGTACGCATTACAAAAGAATAATATATATCTATGTATACATATATACAGAACTATTTAAAAAATATATTACGATATATGCATTGCAATTTTCATTCTGTTAAACTATGAAAGTGTAGTTTAAATATATGTGACAACACTGTTCTGTGTTATGCTAATTAATCTTAATTATGCTTATAATTATATGCTTGATATGATTTTGAATGCTAATTATATGATTATATGTGTTTTTGAATTTTGATATGTTCGCCGTAAGAAAATCTATTTGATTTTCTGTTATAAAATTTAAATTGAAAGCCGTAGAGACGACAAAAAGCGATATTGACTGACCCATTGTGATTAGCGTAATTTTTAAAGCTTATGGTGAATTCAATTAAAAATTGATTTGAATCAAAATAATTAGATTAATTTGATTACATTATGTTCATTTGATTAGGCCTAAGCCTTAATTAGCCAATATGATTAGAGAGACCTATATATGTGCTAGTTATGGACTTAACTCACATCTTTGAGCTCATTTTTATCACCTCTTAGCTAAGTTTATACACTTAGAGGGGGAAAACACTTAAGTTAGAGAGAGAGAGAGAGAGAGACCAAATTCTTAGAGGATTGACTTAAAGATTGAAGATTTGGGAAGCTAGGCTCAAGAATTTGCTAAAACTAGAAGGATTGAAGACTCCAAGTGAGCGTTTGAACTCTAATTCATGAGTTTAAGTTCATAAATGTATGTATTCAAGAAGAATTAATAAATTAATGTAGAATACAAACTCAATGTGACGAATTTGATACTAAATTACACATGCATGCATAATTTTGTTAAGCTTCATGATTTTGAACATCATTTGTACCATTTGACATGGAATTAGATTCTATATTTCATATGCATGCATCATCCTTGAAGATATGAAGCTTGGTTCATTGAGTTTTGAATCTACCAAGAAGAATGTGAAATGATTTGGGAATTGGATCATGAATTTGGACAATTGGTCTCAAATTACCTATGTTCTCATGTTGTATAATGATTTTTCATGTTTTTGTAGCAAAACATGCATTTTGGACCTTTGAACATCAAGCTTTGAACTTCAAGCACAATTCTAGAAATTTCAAAATTCGGCATGTCCGCTCGAGCAAGGAAAGCATCCCTCGAGTGTAAAAATTAAGCTCACAGAAGTTTTACAGAGAATTGCATGATAGCTCGAGCTACAAGCCTTGCGCTCGAGCGAAACCTATTTTATATGGCTCATTACTCGAACAATAGAAGTCTCGCTCGAGCATAAAATTTATGCAACCAGTACTTTACAGAGTTTTACAAACCGCTCGAGCGACCAAAACTGCACTCGAGTAAGGTGCCATGTTTCAGAAATTTTTGAAAAACTATTGTATGTTCCAATTTCCATTCTTTTCCATTTTTGAGTATTCTTAAGCACGCATTGAGCATCCTAAATGAATTAAAGGGCACAAAAGAAGCCTAAGAACTCTAAGCAAACTAAAGAACGAATTGAATTGTATTATGACCCAATTATGAATTATGAAGGATCAAGTGCGAGGACGAATCAAGCACCAGAACACTATGAGTAATATCTTAGTAAAGATATTTTCATGTATATTATTTTTCAAATGCTACTCATGTGTAAGTTTTCTGGTTGTGAATTCGAATGATGAATGAGCATTTCATTCGTCTGATTGTGCAAGACTCTGTAATGAAATTGATAAGTATGAAATCATTTGAATGGACCCAAGGTCGTTCTAAATGAATACGAAATGGGCTTAAAGGCCGTTCTATATATTTGATTATATCGACCAAAGGTCATTCTGTATGTATATGAAATGGGCCCAAGACTGTTTGATATGTTTGATAAGGATAGGAGATGGGCCTAAGGCCATCTGATATGTGTGTCAAGGACACGAAATGGGCCTAAGGCCCGTCTAAATACGAATGTGGTCATGACCACGAATATGAATATGCGCATAGATATGAATATGGAAATGATGGACCTGAGGTCGTTCTGTAATGTGATTGGGGCCCAAGGCCGTTCTGTATTATGATTGAGCCCGAGGCCGTTCTGTAATATCATTGGACAAGTATTATGGACCCGAGGTCATTTCGTATGTATTGGACCGAAGGTCGTTTTTCTTATGAATTGGACCCAATGTCGTTATGTAAATACGAGTTGGACTCGAGGTCGTTTGGTAAATAAATATGGATATGTTATACGATATGTTGGACCTAAGGTCGTTTTGCGTTGATTAAATTGTGACGATCCCATCACGTATAATAATTAGCATGTAATCAATTAAGGAGATTTGAATTTTAATTGTTCATTATTCCGATTTAATTTGGGATTTATGAGAATTATTGAGTCTGATTCGTAAATGGTTTTATTAAGGATTTATTTTGGAATTAGAAGAATTGAACGTCCAAATAGCCTAAGGAGGTGAAATTGATAAGTTACATCAGTTTAATTTCTAGTATTGGACCATATGAGAGTGTAATTAACTATTCGATTCAGTTAGAAAAATTAAGATTTTATTAATTGGGTCCAAATTGAAATAAATGAAGCTAATGTGATTATGAGGATTAGTAATTATAATTATTATAAATTAAATTTATTTTTGAGATGTTCAATTTGAGTATATAATTTATTGATTGAGATTTTGAGTTTGATATGAAATTGAAGGCCTTAATGATGTGAGAGGCCAAAATTGATGATGAAAATAAGTTTAATTTAATATTTGAAGCGTGTTGGGAATTTAATTAAAAATTTGATTCAGATTGATAAATTTAAATATAATCAATTGGACCTTAATGTAAGCCAAATTAGATTAATTAAATTATGCGAGATCTGTGATTAGTTATAATTAATTTAATTATGTGCTAATCAAGATTAAGTAAGATTAATTGATGTTTAATTAAATTAAAATGTAATTAATATACTAAGTTATTCTTAATCAAATCATAATACAAGTGAAGTGTTGGAATCCCCTAGAACCTTGGAGGCAACAAGTACATATGTGTATTTATGTGTGCTGGAGAAGAATTAAAAGAGGAAAAGAAAATTTGAAGGACAGAAAGAAAGAGAGAGAGAGAGAGAGAGAGCTAGCTGCTGGACAATGAAAAAAGGGGAAGAAGAAATTGAAGAACTCAAGTAGAATAACAAAGGAAGGAACGGAAACTTAAGAATTTTAGCCAATTAAAACTTAAGGTATGGAATTTATGTTCAATTTGTGTAGAATCTTCGCATAATACTTGAAATTAAGAAAGTTATGAAATCAATTTTATGAAATTTTCAAGGAAATGCGTTTGAAGAATAAAATGAAGCTAGGGTCATGGTTTATGAAAATAAACTTAGAAATTAATTATTTTTGGTTTGATTTTGTAGAATCATCTTATAACATTTGAGATTGAGAAGGATTTGAGACTATATTCATGGGATTAGATAGAAATTAGGTTTAATTGTATATAATTTGGATGAATTGAGGAACTGAACTTGAAATTAAGAAAGCTATAGAATTAATCTTATGAATTTTGTAAGAAATTAGATTTTGAGTAAGAAATGGAACCTTGGATTTTACAAATAATTTAGCTAAAAGCTGAAATTAAGAAATAAGTGGGTTCTATATTTACATGCATTATAAATTTTGAAGAATTTGAGTTAATCAATTCCATATTTTGAAGAGAATAGTGAAAAGTTTTATAAACATTAAAATTCATGGAAATCTAGAATTAATCTTGAAGATAAATCAGTTTTGATTTTAAATCCCTAATCCATGCATGTAATGTAGATTTAACCATATTTTGGAATATATATTTGTAGACACCCCATTTTTGACCGACCTTGAGACTCAGACGTCACCAGTTGAGCGCTTGGTGATATTGCATAATGTGCTCGTTCAGAAGTTTCAGAGTCTCGGCCGCGAGCC